TATATATATATATATATATAAAGTAGAAAGCCCTTTAAAAGTTGTTTCTTGCCAAAGAAGATTAAGCTTTTAAAAGCGTTGCTTTGGAACTGGAGCAACTTGAACCAAGCCCTTTTGTTTTGCCTTGGTACGTGAAGCATCTAGAGCCAAGTAAAAGCAAGAATACAAAGTGAAAGTGAAAGAAAGAGAAAACCCACCTTACTTAAAACAAGGAAGAAACCAACCTCACCTTCCTTTTTGCCACACAATATTATACAAATGTTAAAAGGAGCTTTAAGGGGAAGAAGAAGAGGCACACCCACATCTTAAAAGTAGAAGAGCATGCACCCTTTTTGAAAAGGAAGATGGGAAGAATGGAATACAAGCGTCACAATGATGATGCGCCTTGGCACCCATTCCAAGAAGGATATAATGAAAGTGCTTTCCCACACAATTCCATTAGCATATTTGATTTGTGAGTAATATATAAACCTCTTTGTGCCCTCATAATTGAGGTTTATTCCATAAGGATATGTGCAGAACAGGTCGACCTACCCCTGGTCCCCGTCTTGATCTGGGAAAGGGACATTGAAGGTTGGGTCCGAGTCAACTGGGCAAGGTCTGTCCCTCACCGGCAAAAGATGCAGAGCACCTCTTATATGCAAAGTGACCAAAAATGCCCTTTAATCACCAATTCTGTTGCTCCCGGCCCGTATCAATGTTCACGAGATCAAAAGAACTGAGAGAATAAGAATAGAGAAGATCTAAATGCACACAGCTCACCTGAATTTCTTACATTAATTTGAGCTTCGTAATCAACAACCACTTTCAAATTATTGAAACATCTGTTGTTCACATGAATTAAGCTAAAAATTTGGATGTAAATCACCATCTAACTTCATATACATCAACATAAGCTTCATTCACAAAGGTTCTTTATTCCATCAAAACGAAGGCAACCCCATGAAACCTAGTCATTATCATTAAAATGTTGGACTTGTTTATTACAACATGAATCCAATACGCATATATTCCAATATGCATCATACTGTAACTCCAAACTAAATAAACAAACCATCGCAGATTCATACCTCTACAACCTGCATTATTAGTGGAACATAAATATATGCCATAGACCCAATAAGTGCTAATATGTACCGCTTTTATCCACATCACCAAATAAGCTGAAAAAATATTGGATTTTCTATGTTCTTTTTTATGAGTTTTTTTATATTTCATTTTGAGTGGGCGAGATGGAATTCAAAATCAAGACCACAGTGGTTTGCTTTTGACCTCATGGACTCAAACCACTAAGCCAAGAGGCCAAACACCATTTTTGTGTTATACATATGCATGGACTGGATTCTCGGTACTGATTGAATCAAGAGGAGAAACGGGTGTCAAAAGCTTCCTCCCAGAATGTGCCCCAAGCAAAGGGTCAATTGTGCGTCTCCAATCACTGTAGTTGAGAGCGGAACCAGACTCTGATAATGGCATCCCATTCACAAAGAAAAAGGGGGTTCCCGTTACTCCTCTCGAACACCCATACTGCCACAAAAAACAACCGAAATAAGCCAGGACTTCAGTGTTCATAAGAACGAAGGTCATGCAATGAAAAAATAATACGAGCACAAGTGAGAGAGAGAGAGAGAGAGAGAGAGAGGAGGGAGGGGGGTGGGACGAGAAGAAAAGAACTACGAGCGTAGACGACGAACGAAAAGGTAAAAAAACGTTAAACGTAAAAACCTACTACCTCCTACCTAACCGTAAAGTAATTAT